CTTGGAAAAGTTTTGTATTTGTGTATGCATATATGTGTACACATGTGCACATATGGGGTGCAGGTAAATGGGTCCCAAGGATCCTCCTGTCCTTGTTTCCTCAGTGCTGGGATTGCAAACATGTCATATCACACCTGACTTTTTCCATGGGTTCTGAGAGTCGAACGTAGGTCCTCATGCATGTTCGGCAGGAATTTTACTGACTGAACTACCTACCAACCTGCTTTGCATTTTAATTTAGATGGTTCCAGGGATTATTATAATGCTGGAGAGATGGCTCAATGGTTAAAAGCACTGACTGCTCTTATAGAGGACCTGGGTTTGATTCCTAGCACCCACATGGCAGCTATGAACCATCCTTAACTCCAGTTCCAGGGGAATCCGAAGCCCTCTTCTGACCTCCGCGGCATTGCACAACACGGGTGCACTCACTTACATACACTCATACACATAAAATGAAAAAAAAAATAAAATATTATAATGTTGATACCATTATCCCACCTGAGTTGGGATTCTGTTGTTTCTTGGTTATGGAAATATTTGCTTTGATGAAATAATGTTCAAAAACTAAATTGTCGAAAAGAGAAAAAATTAACCATTTTCTTTGATTCTCTAGAATCTAGATTCTGCTGTTAATTGATTATTTGATCTTGGTTAAGTTGCTTAATTTTACTAAACTATGGTGGGGAGAAACTGGGCTCTGGGTGGAGGGAGACTTGAGGAGATATATTAAAAGGTAAAATCTAGGGAAGAGTGACACTAATTTTTTTTAGGTCTTTTACATTTTCTTAACTTATGAAATTTTAGTCATATTTGGTTGTGGGATGGATCATGACTTTGCTAACACTATATCTTTTCTTTAATAATTTCATATCTTTGTTCTTATATTTTGTAGTCATAAGACAATGTGGCTTTACCAAAATCTTTTGTCTGTCAGATACACTGATTTTTTTTTCTAACTGATATGGACAAGTTGGGCACGAAAGGAAGGAAATTGATTTTTGCACAGATACTGTATATTGTGGGCTGTCAGTCATTTCCTGAGTCAACAGAATGTAGTCTCCTCAATGTTTAATATGTGGATACCCTGCTTTGCCAGTGTAAAAAAGCTTTAAATTTTAATGCTCATGAATAAGACATATGCTTATAGAGATTTTATACATAAGGAAGAATCAGAAGATCATCTAGCATAAGGGTCTTTCTTTATAGACTAACAAAGAGAGGTCCAGGGCTGGGTAGCAAGGTAGTAACGGGTTTTAGATACCATAGTTAAATTCAGAACCATGGTTCTCAAGACCTAGATCCAGAGAAGACTTTCCAAGAGAAACAGTCCTTAAAAGGATGTATGTAGCTAAGTGAAGATGAGAGAGATGAAGTCTGGAGGGGATTAGCTATGCTAAGGAAGGATCTAGGCACAGGAAGTAGTGGGTAGGAAAAGCCCCGAGATGGAAAGTAGCAAGATATTCAAGAAACAGAGAAATTAGAACGTGGAAAATGGCTGGAGAAGAAAGGATCATGCATGCTGAGCCTGACAGGGCTGTTTGTAGATTATGTTAAGCAGAAGTCGCAAGTTCAGGTACAGAGAGCAGAGGAGAGAAAGTCACTGCATGTCATGCTTTGGCCAGAGAATAGTGATTCAGCACATGAGATTTGAAGTCAGACTCCAAAGTTCAAATCTCAACTATTTAGGAGCAAGTGGTAACTTTGACAAGGGAATTCTTTTAAAAAAAGTTTTATTTATTATTTTTATGTGTATGAGTATATTGTCTGTGTGTGTAAGTGTACCAATGTCATGCAATGCCCACAGAGGTCAGAAGAAGGCATTGGTATCCCCTGGAACTGGAGTTATAGATGGTTTTTAGCTGCCATGTGGGTGCTGGGAATCAACCCCGGGTCCTCTGCAAGAGCAGCCAGCCCTCTTAATCATTGAGCCATCTCTCCAGCCCCTACAAAATAGTTCTATCCAGTGGTATAAATATCACTGCATTTGGTTCTGATGTTTGAAGGATACCCCAAGATACTCTTTTGTAACTGGTAGATAATTATCTACCTCATTGGATTATTGTGAGAAATAATGAGAAAATGGCTAGTATTAGGAAGAAATCCACCGAAAAATCTGCCACTAAGAGTAATAATAGTAGTATCAACCATCTTTTGAACACATTGAAAGGCATTAGTACATAGGTCCAGAATCCATAAGTGCAATTCCAAATTCCAAAAGTGCTTGAACCTATTGATTTTTTTTTTTTAAGTTCGATAAGAATTTCTTGGGTGGCTGAATCTGGACTGAACAGATGTGAAACTGTTTGCTAGTATTTGTTCTACTTTGTGTGAATATTCATAGCATTTCACCATGGAAAATGTTGCTGTTTGATCCTGAGGTTTTTTTTTTTTTTTTTTTTTTTTTTTTTTTTTTTTTTTTTGTCTTTTTGAGACAGGGTCTTCTTGTAACCCCAGTTGGCCTGGAACTTACTAGGTAGACCAGGTTGGCCTCGAACTCACAAAGATCTGCCTGCCTCTGCCTCCCAAGTGCTGGGATTAAAGGCTTATGCCACCACACCTGGCTTGATCCTGAGTTCATACAGTGTTGTAAATACCACTGCATTTTACTCTGGAATCACATTTTTTTTCTGCTTTTTGTAGTTCTGGAGGTCAAGCCCAAGCTATAGGCTCTAAATTTGTATGTGTGTGAGACTGGTTCTCTCACTGAACTGGGGGCTTTCTGTTTCAGGTAGACTGACTGGTTTGTGAGTCCTCAGGGATCCTCTTGTCTCTACTCCACCAGTGCTGGGTACAGATGCATAAAAAGCCTAGCTTTTTAACATGGGTGCTGGGGATATGAAATCGGGTCCTCATGCTTATACAACAAATACTTTACCACTGAGCCATCTTCCACCACCCCTAAAATAAAGAAAAATTGAATTCTAAAATACATCTGCTTCCAAGTGTTTTGGATGAGGAAGTGTGAGTCTTTACCATCTGATTCTGTCATCTGCATGACCCTTCATATAGAGACTTCCATCTGAAGCTGGTGGTGTGAGCACTGCCAACAGCTTAAGTAATTTGCTCAAAGTACCACTATCATAACAGATGGAGCAGAATTTCAGTCTAAGGTTATCTGACAGTGCTTTAAAGATTCAGATGCATTTACACAGGATCTTATCTATTTATGGCCATCGTTTTAGCATTTTTGCATAATTTAAACACTGTTTTCTAAGGAACATAGTTGGTATTTCAAAGAATAAAAGCATTTTCATAACCTAATCATTTTTATTGCCTAGAAAGTTTTTAAAGACTTATTTATTTGCTTATTTATTTATTTTTATGTGTATATGTATGTGCCTGTGTGAATTTATGGGCACCACATGTATGCAGGTACCCACAGAGGCCCGAAGAAGGTGTCAGATAGCCAGGAGCTAGAGTTACAAGCAGCTGTAAGCCACCCGGTATAGGAGTTGGGAACTGAACCCAGATCTTCTGTAAGAGCAGTATAGGCTCTTAACAGTTGAGCCATCTATCCAGCCCTGAGAGGTGTTATATCTAAGCAGCTCATTTAATAATAATGGTAGTAGAAATGATTATTATTCCAGTTTTAAAGCCAGCTATAATTTTTTGAGCCAAATTTCTTCTTCTGTGCCAATTTAGCAAAGTGTCTGACATGCATTATCTCTTTTAATTTTTACATCAACCCAATTGTTATTGTAGGCATTATTATTCCCTGTTTTATGAAGGGAAAGCTATGATTTCATAGCTTTAAAGCTGTTAAGAAATTGCCACTTTCACATAGATGTTAAATAACGAAACGTGGATCTTAATCCAGAGAGATGGGTGCTAAAAGTGCATTCGTTTTTAAAGCGCCATTTCATTTTACAATTAAAATTACATGTACATGACAAAAATCTCAAACAGTAAAAAGATGATGCAATCTCCTATCTGAGAAAATAATGCAATATCACCTCCACACTCACCACCACTCAATTTATTATATATCATAAAGAAGAGGTCTTGCTGACCAATACACACACACATACACACAGTAGTTTTCATACTGCTTGAATATACATACTGTTTACCTTTTGCAAATAGCTGCATATGGTAGAAATCTTTCCATATCATCACTATAATTATGGAGATGCAAATAATTTTTGTGCATCTGTACAATATTTGTGTATGAATATAGCAATTTTTTTCAACCAGACTCCAGTGATAAGTGTTTAAATTGTTCCCAATATCTGGTCCTTAAACGGTGCTGCAAATGAATACCTTTCATATAGATTTAAGTATATGTCTAAAATTATTTCTAGCACTGGAAAATTGTTGCTGGATTTTAGAGTTTCAAATACTGGAAAATATTGATGAATTGCACTCTAAGTGTTTGTTTTTCCAACAGTGAATCAACTTGAATTTATTGGCAAAGAGAAACATTTTTGTGGGTTTATGAGACAATTTCTAAAGACTCTGTCCTTTATCCTTTTATCTGTAGGTTGCTAAATGTTCCCTTATTAGTTTTCAAGAGTTCATTACTTATTAGCCATATGTTATTGGACTAGCCTCTATGTTGTACATTGTTTTTGAGTCAGGGTTTCCCTGTAGTCCCCGGCTGGCCTGGAACTCACTATGTAGACCATGCTGGCCTCAATCTCACAGAGATCTACCTGGCCTTGCCGCCCAAGTGCTCAGATTAAAAGCCATCATGCACAGCCTGTGTTGCACATTTTTATCTGAGGTTACAATTTGTCATTTAAACATCGTATATACATGTATATATTTCATATGCATATGTATACATATATGTGTATACATATATACATGTATATTTAAAAGTTAATTTTATATGGTTAAATATATTTTCATATATATTAATTTTTATAAATTCATAGCTTATATAAATATATTTCTATTTAAATTTTAGATCTGCTATACCTAACCATGAAGCTAACTACCTCTCTAACTTCTAGAATGATGACACTGATTTTAATTTTGTTGTCACTTCTGTTCAGGTGTCCTCACAGAACAATCAGCAGGCCCTCTGGGACAGAATCTGGATGTGGAACCATACTCACAGTACAGCAATGTTCAGTTTCCTCAAGTTCAACCTCAGGTCTCCCCCTCGTCATCCTATTATTCCAACCTGGGTTTCTACCCCCAGCAACCTGAAGAGTGGTGCTCTCCTGGAATCTATGAACTCAGGCGAATGCCAGCTGAGACTGTCTACCAGGGAGAGACTGAGGTAGCAGAGATGCCTGTGATGAAGAAGCCCCGCATGGGCACATCAGCAGCAGGAAGAATAAAAGGGGATGAGCTATGTGTTGTTTGTGGAGACAGAGCATCTGGGTACCATTACAATGCACTGACCTGCGAGGGCTGTAAAGGTAAGCATCCGTTGATCAGCAGTCTAGTAAAATTCTACTGTGTTGGTTGTTCAAGTCCTTCAACTGGATCCTTCCTTTTTCTCAGATAACCTTTTTATTTAACATTAGAAAAAACTTTATTAAGAATTTTGTAATGCATATAAGGTGTTTTGATCAAATCCATGCCCACTCCCTCCCATTTAACACCTCCCATATTTCCCCATCACTTTTTTCTAACAACTTTTTTCTTTCAATCTTTCTTTCTTTCTTTCTTTCTTTCTTTCTTTCTTTCTTTCTTTCCTTTTCCTTCCTCTTCTTTCTTCTTTCTTCTTTCTTCTCCTTCCTTCCTTCCTTTCTTTTTTTTAAATGGGGCTTTTTGCTACTCTAACATTACCCCTCTGAAAAGGTAACCCTAAAATCTTTTAGGGATTGGATAAGAGCTCCCAAATACTTTTGTTATTTTTGGCCCTTAGAATATGTTGCTAAGAGGCCCAAGGACATTTTAACTTTTAGCCAAGAACCTGGCTAATCACTTGCTTAGGCTTTCTCATTTTTTTTCTGTCTATTTCGGAAAATATCTCCATTCCCATATCCTTTTAACATCTTTTGCATTCTCACTTTCTTTTTTAAAAAAAATAATTATGAAGCTGGGCGTGGTGGCGCATGCCTGTAGTCCCAGCACCTGAGAGGCAGAGGCAGGTGGATCTCTGTGAGTTCAAGGCCAGCCTGGTCTACATAGC